GAGTTCGTCAAGATTTTGGGAGGATGTTGGTTGGAATGTTGGGATCCACGCTGTGAGTCTGATCAGTATTTTTGGGAGGATTTTAATGATCGCATTTGATGTGACATCAAGTAAGGAGAAAGGTTAATCTACCTCGTTTGTGTGTTACTGAAGTAGTGAAAAATCGCGTTTTCCCTCCCCCTAGTCGTGCTGCTTGATTGAGGCATCTCCGGCAAAAAAATACTCTGCTCATGATGCTCTGGGACAATGATCATTTGCTGTGCAGAAAAATGCAGTGGCAGGCCGCGACCATCCGCGAGAATTACAGCAAGACCCAACCGAGTGTCAATGCCTCCACATTGAGTCACAAATCACAAGCAATTAGCAAAGAAGACCGGCGGCGCGGAGTCGAACTGCTTGAGAATGAGATTGATAGATATCGTGAGTGGTCGCAGAGCCGCAAAAAGTGCCAGAGGCCCGAGTCTTGGCGAAGTGCACGGACCATGTCCAGATATTCTCCGCCGTCATAAAGACGGAAACATCATTCAACATGGCAACTTAATACCGGCATACATCTATTTTTGCAATCTTCCACTCGCTGTTCGGCGGCGATAATGGCCGCTCCAATGTCAACCATGTGGCCATTGGGTTGCTGGAATTCGGTCCGCCGCGGATTGAAAGGCCACGAGCTTGGTCGACGGTTGCTTTATACAATTTACTCTCCACCCAAGGACAAACTGCCATTTCCTAAGGACCTACCACAGCAGTTCATGCGCCAGATCCCAAACATCCATAGGCCTGACAGAGGTATAATTCTCTTTCTTTGCGTGTTTCTGCCTGGTGCTGCTCGCCCGCCTTCGTGGCGGTCTTTCTAGGTGGATGCAGAATCTCCAAAACTTTCGAAGCTAAACACGTGTTTTATTCTATTGTAGTGGTCGGAAGGAAGATAAAAGTGCCCCCACCCCCACCAAGCAAATGCAAGACAACAAAGGACCCGGTCGCTGCGTTCACGGCGGATCAGCTTGCTATCTACGACCCGACCGGTGAGAGAAAAGCCATGTTCGATAAACGGAATCCCCATTGCGTCAGAGTCGGAGATGTTCTGCGAGTTACGTTCAAGTCCGGAGACCCTTTCGCGGGTGTATGCCTGAATATTCGATCTAGAGGGCTCGACACGTCGTTCTTGCTGAGGAATAAATTGACGAGGATTGGATGTGAGATGTGGATTAAAGTTTTCAGCCCGCTTGTTCAGGCTGTTGAGATTGTACAACGGACGGAGAAGAGGAAGAGACGTGCTAGATTGACCTATATGAGGTATGTTCTTTTTTTTACTCTCTTGTGTTGTTTATGTAGTCCATACATATCCTTTGATTTCGCCACAACTTTCAGGAATTTTGCTAACAATTTCTTGAAAAGGAAACCGAAACATGATATGGGCAGCGTTGAGGGCATTGTTCGTCAGTACATGAGAAATCGATCACAACAGCAAGGAACATCTGTATGAGATTCTGGGACGATAGGCGAAATAGATGACCGCTGTTATGGGGACGCTTATATATATATATATATATATATGTACAGTACTACAGCACTCTCTTGATTTCTTGCACGCTCTGGCATTTTCACTTTCCACTTCCTTCCCCCAAATTTATTTTGAAATGCGCATGCTTGAAATTTCCCAATAGACCTTTGCCTTCTTTTATTTATTTCCTTTTTTGCCTAGAAACATTTTCCCTTTGGTATTACCTGTAAGGAGCATATAATTTCGTCTTATTCAGTCTTATTCAGGTATGATCCAAACACCCATGGCCAAATCAAATGGGAAATAAAGCTAATAGGCCACCCGAAGCATTCCGTAATAATTTCGTCCAGCCACTAGCTCACAGAACCTTTCCAAGAACATGGCAAAATCTACCTCACTCTGATGTCACAAGTCTTGACTTTACCAGCCCACCTTCCCAGCTCCAAACTTTCCTAGGTCACCTCTGACTACAGAAGATAGATGCCCTTGTCTATAAATCCGGCGAGTGGTGTCCTGTGTTCCCAGCCATGGGGTTAAATTAATAGCTGCCTGCTACTTTTATCGCGATATATGGCTGCCATCGCAAGCTCGGAAAAGTAACTATTATGGCAACATCGCGCGCTGCAAATGTTTTGGAAACAGGGAGAAAAGAAGACGCTAGCATTGCACAGGGTGTAAGCAATCCGGCGAGAGATAAGCAGAAATCTGCAGATCCGAGTGGTGAGACGATGAAGGCTTTAGTATGGCTGGGGAAAAACGATGTGGCCGTTGGTATGTCGAAATTGTACAAAATATATCAAGCAAGGGATAGCCTTCTAACTTCTTCATGGGGAAACTAAGTATTCTTTTTACTGATACGAATTTTGGGAATAACAGTGGACGTTTCTAAACCCAAGATTATCGAGGATACAGATGCAATTTTGAAAGTTACCGGAACGACAATTTGCGAGAGCGATTTGCATCTCTATCACGGTGCGCATAGATTATATTCTACTATCTTTACAGCCTCCAAATATACATGCACATTTTTGCGGTACAGTTTATTCTGATATGGTCGACCTCCAGGTTCCGTTGTTCAAATGCAAAAGGGAGATATCATGGGCCATGAATTCTGCGGAGAAGTAGAATCCGTAGGTGTGAGCGTCAAAAATCTGAAAAAGGGCGATCGTGTCGTCGCACCCTTCCAAATCGCCTGCGGTGATTGTAAATATTGCAAGCAGAAGCTCTCCTCGCAATGCGAGCGCACAAATGCTAGTCAGTTGGAAAATGAGATGTATGGGTCACGCACAGTAGGTCAGTATTACCACCATTCTATTTATTTTGCAAGTCCTGGGTAGCATGGGTAGAATATGTTAAACCACTGAATGTTAAATAGGAATGTTTGGCTACTCCCACCTCACTGGAGGTTTTGCCGGTGGTCAAGCTGAATATGTCCGTGTGCCCTACGCGGAGACCAACCTCCTTCCACTCCCCGCCAACGTCCCTGATGAGAAGGGCCTCTACCTCTCGGACGTGCTCGGTACAGCTTGGCACTGTGTGGTTGACACGGGCGTGCAGGAGGGAGACGTCGTGGCGATATGGGGTGCGGGACCCATCGGGCAGATGTGTGCAGAGTTCAGCTTCATGCACGGCGCGGACAGGGTGATTATTATTGACGGCGGAGCGGGTGCTTGGCGTTTAGGCTTTGTCAAGGAGAAGCTGCCGCGTGTTGAGACGGTGGATTTTTCGACCTTACGGAGTGGAGAGTCGGTGACGTCTGTGTTGAAGGAAATGGTGCGTGGTGGGCAGGGCCCGGATGTGGCGTTAGAGTGTGCAGCCGGGGAGTATGCGAAGGGCTGGGCGCATTATATAGAGATTATTCTTGGGGCGGAGACCGATACGTCGGAGATCTTGAATGAGATGGTTACGTCCGTGAGGAATTTTGGGAGGTGTGGGATTACAGGAATTTACGTGGGCTATGTAAGTGATTTTCTTGATACTAGCTTATAGATGCGCAGCATGGAGTGAGCGTTAGATCAAAGTGTTAAGTGTTTGATTATCCCCTAAATAAAGTTTAGGTGAGGAACTGGACTATCAATTACTGACAGTGACAGACAAATCACTTTAATATCGGATCTCTCATGCAGCGCGGTGTTAGACTGATTGGTAATGGCCAGGCGCCTATACAAAAATACTGGGAACACCTACTCTCGCTCGTAAAAAGTGGCGAACTTGATCCATTGCAAATGGTTTCAACCCGTGTTAAGCTGGAAGACCTAGATCTTCTCTATCGAATGTGCGACGAAAGAAAGAAAGGTATCCAAAAGGTGTTTGTGCAAACCAAGTTTTCAAAGGAACCATGTCCAGGGTCACCAGCGTTGGCTGAATATGAGTAATGAATGAAAGGAGTGTCACACACTTGTCTGACGTCGAGTCATTAACGGATGGTCGAAAGAAAAAGTACGGTTATGTTGCGGAATAATAACTTTATCAAAAGTATAAAAATTTGCGTATTACATCGATTTCTTTGCTTTTGGGGTATGGACGATTAGATTAATTGTTGTTGAACACTCGCTGAGTCCAGGAATGTTGGAGAGGTGGACAATAATGGACATAATGAAGCAGTAACAAAACAGGAAGAGATATGTTCAGACTGCCTTGCCCTATCGTGTAGTCGGAAGATATACAATCACTTCGAGTCCTCCCTTAAATGGAGTTGTCATTGACTTGAATCCATTCTTAGGATCATGTACGTAATCCAAAAAATCCCGATAGTCAGATCGGAAACTGGAGGTATTATCCGCAACAATGAGTGCTCCATGTCGAAGTTTTGGCTGGACGATTTTCAACGCTGGAAGGGCCAACGGTGTCCAGACTACATTATTGGTGATAATAAGTCAATATTCGCAAGGTATAATAAAGAAGGGAGAGACATACTATCAAGAAGTAGAAGGTCAACCTCTTCCACCCTATTCAACTCGGTAGGGAGAGTGTTGTTCAAATCCCCCTCCAACAGAGTGATCCATGGCTCAACCTCAGGCCCCGCCTCCTTCCAATGTTCCCGAGCGCGTTTGGCCTTCTCGGTCTCTTTCTCTGTAGCAATCACCTTAGCCCCCTGTCCAGGTGTGCCGGGAGATGGAGAGAGTGCAGTGGCATTTTGCCCAGCAGCCAGAGCCAAGTAAATAGTGGAAACACCGTAACTTGTGCCCGCCTCCACTATAGTAGTCGCACCGGTAGTCCGTGCAAGGAGGTAGACAAATTCGCTTTTGTCAACCTCCAGGGCAACGAATTTATCCTTGGTAAAATTATCATCCAGAGATGACCACCTCTGGTTCGTGAAAAGAGTGCGGACTTTTCTGGTCAGGAACCAGAAAATGGTGGAAATGCTCCGTTCTTGAGCTATAGAAGCCGCATGAAGCCTCTGAAGAAGGTCAAGGACCTTTTGGCTGGCGACAAGAGGGCTTGGTGACATGATGAGCTGCTCTGATTTGGTTGTGTAGTCTGAGGTAGATTGAGTTACGAAGGAGCTGCCTGAGGAGGCAGGGGAATGGGTCTCCTTGATATAGTTTTTACAAATTCCGATCTCCAAGTTCTGACTCGTGGATTCGATTCTCGTATTCAATATTGCGCTGCGCAAACATGGGAATCTTCGTCATTTCAAAATGACGGTAGTGGAACAATAGGCCTGTGTACACGGAGGAAGTCTCGGCGTATTTGTGAACACTTCCACTCTTGCAGACTAGTTAGTTAGTTATATCAAGCTTTTACGTAACCGAACGAACAATTCCTTCGCAAACCTCGGACTCGGGGGGGATTTAGATTGCTTTAGCGGACGCCAATGTGAGCTAATTGGAGCATATTCGCAGCGATCCCTGTCCGCTTTGTTCCAATAATCCGTATCTAACCCATCTGCGATTGTGATAGGAGTTTCAGGCAACAGGATAACAAGTCCATATCCGAGGTTCTCCAGGTTAAGTTGGTATACATGGGATCCACGGTATACACATATGTCTTCGTTAATGTCGTCGATGTCGTCGTATTGAACGATAAGCCGGCCTTGGCGATCAGATAACTCTGCCAAGAAGGAATGTCGCGAGCACGTGATTATCGCACGATAATCTAATCTGATCTTCCGAATCCCCGCGATTCCAAAAGTTGGCCCAACACTCACTCACCAGGCTTCGACATTCTGATTTTTTTTTTCTTTTTCGGTTTTACGTTTGCTTGTGTTTCCATGGTTCTTCAATTGAATCTTGATTACTGTCGACGGCTTAACCCCTGGGACATGACGTCCAACCCATTTAAGGCGCCCCAGATAGAGTATCACAGGGAAGACAACTGATCATCCACGACAACTATCCTACCGTACATGTACATCCATGTACAATAGCACATCACATGAACGTTGCCATGTTGTCCTCATATACTGCTTCGACTCCCTTCGTCGATTTCGATGCCCTCTCCTGCTTCCCTTGACTCAGCCGTATGTGTGCACAGACCATCTGTGGCTGCTGATGACACTC